AACCATTCTATGATTCTATATTTCCATGGATGGTGGAACTATATGGGGGGGGTTGGAACTAGATGATCTTTAAGGTCCCTTCCAACCCAAACCATTCTGCAATTTCATGTTTACCAATGTGCTTCCTTCCAGCAGTTTAGTTGTACAAGATGAATTTTAAGCTTGAAAGTCAGACGAAATTAAGAACAAAGCCAAGCAAAACTATGAATGTTAAAGCAAGTTTGGGATATTGAGATGCTTTTTCCTTTATCCTTGACTCACCAATCTGTGCAACCAAAAAGCAAGTTAAAACTAAAATCAGCCTCTAACTATAAAAATGATCATCTGTACTCCTGAAGAGGCACCTACCTGTACGACCTGGTTAGATTAAGTTAAACTGTTGATCTGTACTAAAAGTCTCAGAGAAAAAGCAGCTGTCAAGGCAAGCAGACTTATGGGAAGATCAGGTCCCTTTCACGTTAAGGACATTTACAGTACAAACCCTGTAACAGCTAACTGTTTCTGACTTCAGAAAGCTACAAGTAGTGAATCAAAAGAGTACAATATACACACATTACCTTTTGCAAGATTACATATTTTAATACCATCTCAAGAGCAGGGCTGGGGGGAGGGGGTGAAGGAAAAAAAGATGCTGTCCATGCTACTATTAAATTACCCGTTCAAATTAGTTTCCTTTACCTTTAAGAGTGGGTCAGCATGTTCCAAAAACCATCCTGCAACTGCATGCCCTGCCTCATGATATGCTACTGTCTTTTTCTCCTCTGGCTGCAGTACTTGAGTTTTCTTTTCCAAACCTTTATGAAATAAGTTTGATTAATAGTTTCAGACATGCCTTTCTCCACTGAAATACCTTATCTCACTTACAAACACTGTGAGAAATACTTAGATGACACATATACTATCGATTGAAAAAGTTAAAAATACAAACAAAACCAAAACTTGCAAGTTTTAGAAATTTCTATCTTCCAGGTTTTATAGTAACCTTGTCCTTAATTAGATTTTCCAGTTTCAAAGTAGAAGTTCTTAAGAATATTAAAACATACAAATAAAACATTTGTACTTTAAAAATTTAATAGTTTTCTAGACTATTCCAGCTTAACAGCAGCTAAAAGCACTGCTAAATCCAAACAGCTATTCCTCTTGTCATTTTAAGGAAATCAGAAAAGCATCCTGATGAAATTTCTCTCCCTACCCCTTTCTCCATTACAGAAGTCAGCAATATAGACAGGATGATACTTTTCTAAACCTCAGATGTGTTTAGGAGAGAAAATAAACCCTTGAAGACCAGGAGAGAGTCAGACCACACACACACATATATATATATAAAAATAAAAAAAAGAAGTTGCCTGTCATAGCACAATTTCTGATGAGTGTTTGATGCAGTTCACCTACCTCCAATAACCCTTTCAATTGCTTGCTCAAAGTGCTTTTGGTTTATAGCATCTGAGAGATGCCTTGCAGCAATCAAAGCAGCTTCATTACAAACATTAGCAATATCAGCACCTGAAAGCAGAGAAGGCATGAATTACTGATCATTTTCAACAATTTCCTCTCAGCCTAGCATAAAGATAACCTTACCTAGAATTAGATTTCTATACATTGTCATAGAGCTTGAAAATTAAAGGTAATGCACTCTGGAACAGTTCATTACACAAGGCATAATTCTGTAAGACCTATTTAAATCCATGTACTACAGTTACAGGCTTTAGGATTTTTCTCTTAGGTAGAGAGCTACCAAATAGAGCTTATTGCCAGTGAAGTACTACTTGTTTGATATATCCTACCTTCTGTAAGTTTTCTGTCTGCAACAGTCTCTATATTTAGCAGAATAAGCTTCCTAGATATGGATCCAGTACAGCTCAGACCTTGATGTATCTCTGGATAACATCCTTTTGCATCACTGGCTTCAAGCCATCCACTTGTCATTAACATTATGTGCAGTAGTGCTACTGAGATAACTTAGTTTAATCATAATCATCACTGCAGTTACCAGAAGTGTTAACAATCAGGCCTCAGAAAACCAGTTTTAAATAGACCACAAAAACAGTGAAGAGTTCAACTACTGGTCACCACAGATTTGTAAGTGAATTAAGTTACAAGCAAGTAACAAAAGTTCTCACATCCATTCCTAATTCAGCACAGTACTTTTTCCAAGGAGTTTTTACATCCAAAACCAGAAATCCCCCTACAGAACGTGCACACAAACTCCACAAAACCCATCTGTTTTCTTGTAGGAGTTCAAAGAATCCAACAAATGTATTAAAAGGAAGAACATACACATGAGTGATAGCAATGAGAAATCTCTGGACTGCTTTTGCTGAAGACAGAAGAAATGGCCATTTGACATGTCACACTGAGGCACACAAAACTTACGACCCTCAGAAATCTGCTCGCTCAAACAGGCAAGGAGAATTTCGTGCCATACCCATAAATAAGAGTGGCATGCAGAAGACTGGGTGCAAGAAGACCAGAAGTAGAAGGGAAATAAGGTATCTACAGCTTACACAGTAAATGCACAAGAATAGTGGCATTAGGAGTCACTTACCAGAAAAACCAGGTGTTAGTGATGCAAGTTTTCTTGCTAGGTTATCTTTATTTAAGACGGTGTCTAATTTCAGAGGTCTAAGGTGAACTTTGAAAATAGATGCTCTTCCTTTTATATCTGGGGGTCCTTTAAGATTAAAAAAAAAAAAACCCACAAGGTATGCTTTTACTTCTCACATATATATTTTAATAGAATGTGTGCAAGGAAGTTGCACATGTAAATAGCTGTGGTGATTTCAGTGGTATTCCACAAATGCAGACACGTACAGCAATGCAGATAACACTTACCAATGTAAATCTGTCTGTCGAAGCGTCCTGGTCTCATCAGGGCAGGGTCTAAAATATCTGGCCTGTTAGTACCTGCCAGAATTACTACATTTGTGGTCGTATTAAAACCTGTTGAAGATATGTAGTAGAGAGAAAGTATGTGTAAATATAATTTCTGTGAAAAAATAAAAGAGAAATAAAAAGACTGTCCACTTCACAAGGCCACATAAGAACGGACAGTTTAAACAAATGATATTAAAGCTGAAGATACTTCCCTTTATTACAGCATTGTCTAGCTTTTCATAACAAACAAAAAATTGGCCTTGGGCTCTGCTTTGTGAGGTACTGTATCAAACCCTGCTTTATCTTCAAAATGCAGTAATAGATTAACTGCTCAGGAAACTGCAGAACCAGCACGGCTAGCTGTGCTTTTTACAGACAGACTGGTCTCATGCAAAGATTATTCTTTTCCCCCCTATTCAATTTGCACAAAGAGTTGTCAGAGGCAGAAGGATGATTCTTTTTGCTGAATGAACTTTAGCAGAACATCACGCTGCAGCAAAACGAGTCACCATTCTTCATTTTAGGAAGCAAGGAGGAACACTCAATTTTTATTTAATCTGGAACCCAAATTCTGTTAAAGATTAGTTAACGAATAAGCATATTAGTTCTTTCCCTTATCCTTGTGTAATATTAAAAGTTAAATACTTACCATCCATTTCTACTAGAAGCTGATTGAGTGTGTTCTCTTGTTCACTCTGTCCTCCAAAGTTGCCCCTTCCCCTCTTCCTTCCTACTGCATCTATTTCATCAATGAAGAGAATGCACGGGGCATTTTTACGAGCAAGAGCAAATAAGTCTCTAACCTTAACAGGAGAACAGAACATGCATCAGATGGCTTTGTAATTGTTCAGAGTCAGGTGGTGGGTAAGAGGGGAAGAGGAACACCAGTAACAGTATTGGTATAATTGGGTATGGCTGGTAATAATTTTGGTGTTCCAAAGCCTCAAGGCAGCCTTACTGCTGCTCAGCAAGAATCACTTATTTCATGGTATAATGTTAGCCACCCTGTCTCTTCATTACATGGGCTGAAAAAAATTGAATTCACCTCTAAATATTTACATGGAAGCTGAATTAACTTCTAGAAGTCAAAAATGTCTAAGACCTGAGCAAACAGAAGAAAGTATTTTTGGACTTTCAGGTAAGTAAGGATATTACCTATTACATTCTATTGTAGTAGTTACAGCACCGTGTGATTGGCTTTAAGATGCAACACTGCAATGTTATTCTGCTTGCAAATGTATCCGAAGGACCTCATTAAAACCAGTGCAGCAGGTTCACAGACCCACAACTGAGGAATTGAACTGGAGCAAACAGGAAATGAAAAGTTACAGAAGAATTGTGACCTGAGTGGGAATTACAACTCAGCTTTACTACACTGTGCATTAGAGATGCAATTAGAGAAGGCTTCTGTGATGGCAAATGTACAGCAGATGTAAAGAAACTTGAATTTTGGATAGTGTGCTCTACTACAGAAAGTCACTCTTTTTTGTAAACAGAATTTGAAAAAAGTACAAAGAATAAAGCAGGAAGGAACATGGTAAACAAGGAGGTGTAAGATGCTCCACATGAACGATCTTTTGGTTGGAGACAGATGCAGAAATAGACAATTCTTTTTCAGGGGGAATGAACTATAAATTACCATAATGCATATACACGAAAAACACACAACACAGGAACCACGGCTGCATAAGTAGTTTTAGTTCTAGTATATCCTAATTTACAAATAATCAATTTAGCATCGTAACAATTGTTCTTATTCACTCAATTCATAGGAAATGAAATTAAAACACTCTCTCATGTTGTTTTCTACAGGCACCAGAAAACATCAACTGTGTTGAAACTTTGATTCATAGTCAGAGCATCAACTGTTATGTCAACAGATTTCAGTGAGTAGTAAAAACCCATAGTCATCTGCACAGACCAGCGGGGAAAAGTTAAGTCACTTTGCTTTGGGGCTTTTCATATACGTATGGACAATGTAGTTTGAGTACCATTATTATTTCGGGACACCTAGTACTTTCGCAGAGGATATGGATCAGGTTCTTTCCATTTTTTGGTAAAGCCCCTTCTGAACTGCACACTTCCCTTTTCAAGGCTCATTACTCTTACATGCATGATCACCATCTCCATATGCTCTGGCTGTCAGTCACCATCCATGATTTTAACCCTGTGTTTCTGCATCTATTTCCTCACTCTGTCTATACCCTCTCCCCTCCAGAGCGTCTCCTTTTGCCGATTTCCTTACACATTTCCAGTCTCTCTCCGCATCCTCATCGAAGCCTCCACTCTCAAGTAGCTTCTGCATTTAACTTGCTGAAAAGCTCCTGTTATTCTCAGTTCCAAGCTCTGTGCCCACCTGCATGTGTCCCTACTCCCCTTCCCTTTTCAGACAACCCAAAATTTCCTGTCTTCACTTATCTTTTCCCACCCATATTACTGGATGAAGTCCAGCAAAAGCCCATCAAAAGAGACCTAGGCTTGCAAAAGGCATATGCATGCACAGCAGTGACAAACCAAGGAAAAGACCTTGGAAGGTTTCTCTGCTAACCTCTAACACACCTAGACATGTGAAAACTGCATTTTTTCAGTGCCTCACAGAACTTAATCAAAATTAGTTTTCCCGTGAATTTTCACAGGACACAAAAACTGCATGGATCTGGTAACAGCCATTCCAAATTTCAAATTCAAATCAAGACCCTAAAGTATTTCCATTTCATGCTAGCAGAATTAGTTTTTTAAATGTGAGTAAAAACCATAGTACACTTCCTTAAGTCTGTCTGCAGAGTCTACAGCAATCAAACCTTAAGTTTTCCAGACGTGTGTCACTTCACAGTATACTTCTTAAGGCTCAAGGCAAGACGGCTGAAGTCTGCTGAAGGCGTGAGCTGTTAGGAATGGAGTCTAATTTTGTACATTATGAGGAACCCTCTATTTTTATGTTACCTGCCTCATTTGTAAAATATTATCAGTTAACTTGTTTATAGAATATTTTCCAGCAGATTTAGGTGTCCTTCCTTCCTAGACAGGAGAAGGTAGATTTAAAACTGAATGTTTGATAAGTAGTTGTAATGAAAAAAGAATAGTTAAAGAAAAATGGATGCACTGGAACAGAGCTAAATCTCTCCACTTCATACATTTCTCCTAGAACAGAACAGACTGTATCAGTTGGAAGGGACCTACAACAACTGTCTAGTCCAACCGCCTGACCGATCCAGGGCTGATCCAGTTAAAGCATGTTGTTAGGGGCATTGTCGAGGTGCCTCTTGAACACTGACAGCCTTGGGGCATCCACCACCTCTCCAGGGAGCCTGTTGCAGTGTCTGACCACCCTCTCGGCAAAGAAACGCTTCCTCATGTCCAGCCTAAACCTCCCCAGGTGCAGCTCTGAACTCTTCCCACGCATCCTGGCGCTGGAT